TTTTTTTTTTAAGTTTATATGTTGTTTAATATTCATTCACTTTTGTTTCACATGGTGAGTTTAACACTATTTTCGCACTAGTGTGAACCGAGCTCTGCATTATTTCGTCCCGTTATGCGAACACAATGTTCTAGGGTGGGGGTGAAAGAATGCAAGAATTTTTGGAAAGTTTCAAGGACAAATACACCGCCCCAGGTTATTTAACGGTACCATCTCAGTGTGAGAGTGCATTGTGAAAGTAAGTATCAGTTTCTTAATATAGATCTTCAAGTGCGTTAGCAAAATGTCGGGGTTTAAAAGGAAGCGTGTTGTGTTAAGTATTCAACAGAAACTTGAAATTATCAATCAGCTGGAAAAAGGAGCTGTAGTTAAACAATTAGCAATGCAATACGGTATTGGAGAACAAACTGTTCGTGATTTGAAAAAACAAAAGAATGAGTTAATTTCCTTTGCTTCGTCTTCTAATTCAAGCGGAATGAAGAAGAGAAAAACCATGAAGAAATCAACATACGATGATCTCGACAAAGCGATGCTGACCTGGTTTAATCAACTAAGGGCACAGGGAACAACAATAACAGGACCAGTTTGTGCTAAACAAGCTAAATATTTTTTCGAAGCACTTGAACTAGAAGGGAGTTTTGACGCTTCTTCCGGTTGGCTAACACGTTTCAAGCAGCGTCATGGAATACGAGAAATCAGTATTCAAGGTGAGAAATTGTCAGGGGACTTGTCAGCATCAGATCAATTTTGCACCAATTTTGATAGTTTTGTGAAAAGTGAAAATCTGCTGCCAGAACAAATCTATAATGCCGATGAAACGGGTCTTTATTGGAAATGCTTGCCAACCAGAACATTGGCATTTCAAAATGAAAGACAGGCTCCAGGTCACAAATCCAGTAAGGAGAGATTGACAGTCTTGTGCTGTTCTAATGCATCAGGAACACACAAACTAATACCAGTAGTTATCGGCAAAGCGAAAAGACCACGCTCTTTTAAAGGAACAGTAGCTTCAAGTCTGCCTATCCATTATTTTAACCAGAAAGTAGCTTGGATGAATAGAGCGATATTTAAAGAATGGTTTGATTTTAAATTCGTGCCTCAAGTTCGTGACCATCTAAAATCCCAAGGCCTACCTGAGAAAGCTGTGCTCCTCATTGACAATGCGCCCTCACATCCTAACGAAAGTCTCCTGAGGTCAGATGATGGAAATATTTTTGTGAAATATTTTCCCGCTAATGTTACCGCACTTATCCAACCAATGGATCAAGGAGTTATCTCAAGTATGAAGAGAATCTACAGATCAAATTTGCTACAAAAGTACATCGATGAAGGCAATGATCTGACGTGTTTCTGGAAGTCCTTTTCAGTATTAGATGCCATATACGAGATTTCAACAGCGTGGGATACAGTAAAGCCATCTGTATTGAAAAATTCATGGAAGAAACTGATGCCTTTCATCACTAATGAAGATGACGAAATCCATGGATTCACTGGATTCAGTGAAAATGAGATAGCCATAAAATTGACAAAAGTGGCTAACCAAGTTCATGGTGGTGAAGAAGTCAACGAGGAAAATATAAGAGAGTGGTTTAACTGTGACTCGTGTGAACCGGGCTTCGAAATGTTAAGCAGTGACGAAATCGTAACTTCAATGGGGGTGCAGCCAGAAGAGCGGGAAGAAAGTGAGAATGAGGAAGAGGTGGACAGTGTTGCCAGTAAGAAAGTATCACATGGTGCTGCGCTTAATCATTTGGAATCCTTACTAGACTATCTTGAGAGTGAAGAGGACAGTTTATTAAGTGACAAGCTAATATTACGTAGGCTTCGTACGGATATCCGTAAAAAGGAAAATGCCGCGAAAAAGCAAAAGACAGTATTAAATTATTTTAAGTGTTAAGTGTGACCGTAAAAAGTGCTGGATGTTGTTGAACAGTGATTGAAATAACTAATTCATACTGAGTGTAATGTAAAGAAAGTATTAAATAGGCCATGAGATGACATAGAAATGAGGATGAATAAATTTAAATACAGGTAGGTCTATAGTATTATGAAGGTATTAAAAGGTAAAAGGTAAAGTTGTTCCTCTGCTCAACGAATTAAGCCCTACGCCATTAAGGCGTGTGGGGGAGTGGATGTATAGATCCAAATTTTCTTGACCTCGGCACTAGTTGGAGGTGAGTGGTCAGCTTCACGCCCCGGCCGCTTTACCCCCGGGGAAAGAGCCCCCGGTACCCATTGGATAGGAGGTTGGATGGACCCCAGAGCCGGTCTGGACGATTTGGAGAAGTTAAAATTCTTGACCCTACCGGGACTCGAACTCCGACCCTTCACAGTCGTCCAGCCCGTATAATAAAATTTGGCTTAACCGGGTTTTCGATTAACCGTGACTTCCATCCCCACCATTAGCCCGGATAATCGAGAGTTGACTGTATATATGATTGGTTTTATTGACTTATTTATATTTGTTTGATATTTATTGATCTTTATAACCTATAACTACTGATATTCTTACAATTTTTACTCTGTTGTGTCCACTGTGTATGTGCCTATTTGATGATATTAATCAGTTTTCCTGTATGTTTTGTGGTGTGGTATGTATTTGAGAATATCATGACAAACTCTGTATCCTTATTATGGATTTTGAATGAAATAAAATAATAACAAACATAATACAATTAGGATAACAACTGATGTTCCTGATTTGTTACAGATTGTAGGTAATAACACTTTATTGTTGCTTGTGACGGTTTATGTTCATGTATTCATGTTCTATTAATATTTATATATGGCTAACTGTTATGACATTGCACAATTGTTATGCAGTATGTAATTACGCTTACTCATGTTGACTTCTTCTATATCCATGTTCATGTATTCAGGTATTCATGTTTTTGTAAATATTTATATATGGCTACTGTTATGACATTGCACAAATGTGATGCAGTATGTAATTATGCTTACTCATGTTGACTACTTCTATATCCGTGGTGTTTTGAAAAAACCATGTAAGGATTTATGGAATGCTGAATAAATATCTAATATCTAATATCTAAAATTTGTAGCCTAGGCTTTCAACTATCCTAGTGAGCCTTTTCATTACTACACTTGCAGTTGTCATTTGATTGTATTCTTCCAGTCCTTTCAGGGGTATACTATCATGTCACAGAGGTGGCGAGTCTTACAGCCAAAGCATTTTATGATTCTCTGGAATGTGCTGCAATAATTTATAACAGCTTGATACATGTGTAACATTTTGGAAGACTGGTAACTGTCATCACTGTTCTACAGGACACACAAATGATGCCTAGCAGCAGGTAGAACGTTATTCCAGCATTCAAAAGAGACACAGACACTACAAAGAAAGATGGCTTTGCAACAACTTATGAAAGATTTACGTCAAAATTTGAAACTTTGTCTAAATGTAGGGGGTCTTTCAGTGCAATTTCACTGCAGAGCACATCATGTTCACAGCAAAAAAAAATGGCTTCAACAAAATATTTCGGACTCATAACACATAATGTAAATGGGTAATTTTATGCCGTCAGTACTTGCCATTAACTCTTCAAGAATGTTTTCATAGATGTACGTTGGAGTGACTTTCATCTTTATACCCATTAACATCATCTTACATGGTAGCACACACCAAAAGGGCTAACAAATGAAAAATCTCTTGCAGGAATAAGCAGTGCATACACAGTGCTCTAATGAGTACAGCATTTTCACAAATATAATTTTTAATTTTGTTAGGTGGTTTTACTGCATAACATATTCATATAATTCAGTTATTTCCATCCAACTTCTCCCTCCACCACAAACCTTTCTTGATACACGAACTGCTATTATTATTCTGTTCATTCTTGTCACTTACTTAAATATTTCATTAGCAGTCTTATGGCCCAGTGGATCCTTAAGTAGCATGTTCAGTTCCTGGGTAGCATCTCTAACAGCAGTAACACAAGAATCATTAGATATAGCCAGATCATCTTCAACCACTCTGTAATACTCTGAAACACACATTAGAATTAAAAATACAACAACTCTCACTAAACTCCCTTAACAGGGAAGTCTTAAATTCAAGCAGCTCGATGCTGTATTTGGTGTGACCATAGCAACTTCTGACATGTTTGGAGAATAGCGATATCACTAAACTATCCTTCATTGAGTAGAGTGTGTTAAGTTTCCCATAAACACATTAATGCTGCATAACAACTGGTTAGAAGAGACAACTGCATGTATTCAGATGCGGCTTAAAAAAATTGGGCTGGGTTCAAATGCTCTGGATAGCATTCATGAGCACGCTCCTGTGAACATGGTGAGGAATCATCAGGTTTCATAAATGGCAGCCTCCCATAAATTCTTCAGTGGTATTCAACTTTCTTCATCTTACTGTTTCAGTTTTCCCCTGAAAATTCAACCATATGAAGAGACCATGTATTTCATATAACACATATATGTATCTGCCACTAATGCAACTCATAGTCATTCATAACATGCTTCGGCCATATTATATGAAATACATGATATATTGATGCAATAGGATGCTTAAATTCAACCATATGAAAAGATCTCATACTAATATATTGTCACCTATGTTACTGTATGTGATAAAATATACATTCACAATTAGGGCCAAACAAAAGGCAAGACAGACTTTCTGAAAATGAATGGTACCACAAAGAGCTGTGTCACTATACCACCTAATGGTACAATAAAAGCTTCCTTCAAAGCAACTGAACCTATCTACCAATCTACAAAGTATCACATCTCAGAAGACAGTACTGTTCACAGTCATTGCTGTGAGAAACTGACATCTCACTTAACAATTCCTTTTCAAGCATCTGTATTATTAATACCTACTCAAGTGTACTTCTCATGAACAGAGTGTTCACAAGCATCATTAATCCCGCCACCCCAAGCTGACTAAGCATATTTGCGCCTCATCGGTGTAAGCAGAATATAATGAGTGACATCACAAGAATACAACTCACCTTCAAACATGATTATTTCATCACTGATGCTTCATTACTGTCTACCCTTGTCTCACCTCTGCCAAGACACAGAGCTGATTCATTACATTAACCTACAGAACATACAGGTATCCCGTAAAACGGTTCCATGTTCTATACATACTAATTATGGCCCACATAAATGTATTGTATTGTATTGTATTGCATTGCATTGTATCTTATAATAAAAACAATTATCTTTCCTACAAAGACGACCACAACACAGATTTTAGTGTGGGTACCCCACTAAACTAGTACATGAATCATTTATTAATCATTATTCAAACATTACTGTCGCCACAAATTACTCAATTTCTGAAATAACAGTGATTAAGGACACTGTTCATATTTCATTGTCTAGATCCAGTTGCTATGGGTAGGTGCTGTAGTGATCTGAACTATTCTCTGGTTAGAAGACTGGCAAATGCCACAACTGGCAGAACAATCAACAAAACAATAGAAGGTGTCCTCACTCCCCCTCAGCACCGTGTCTCTTCCTCTAATTAAATTCCTACACCTTTTATGTATTTTTAAATTTTCCAAAAACAATTACTCTCTTTTCCCTACCTTCCTTCCCCCTTCCTTCTTCCTTTTTGATATATTTTCAGCTTTATATTCACCTATGAACTTTGGGTATATGTGAGGCAGTACGCTTCCACACCTGCCGCTTCTGCACTGTTAGCAGCCTTCAGTCTGATACACTGTGATGCTATATTTAGTACGTTAAATCCATTCTCATTTGGATTATAGCATAATGTGAGTCTGTGACTCACTGAGCATGGATTAATTGTCAACAACATTGTGGATCTACTGAATTATGAAATATTACTCCTATCATAGGTGACAATTTACTAAATTGAAAATATATATCTTACATATTTATATCCAAAAGCATACATTCTGAAAAGAAATACAGCCTTAAAAATTGATACAGTTTGATCAAATAATAAATTGATTACAAAATTATTATGAATGTTAGGAGCTGAGGCAGTCAGTACAGTACTCATGCTGCAAGATGAACAACCAAAGAATTAGGTTTCAATTTCAGGAATGGTCAAGAGTTTTTTCTCTTCACCACAGTATCCAGACCTTCCTGCTTCCTATTCAGTGGGCACTGGAGAGGCTCTCTTGCAGGATGTAAAGCAGCTGAGTGTGAAGCTGCCCACTCACCTCCACATAGTGCTGAGGTGAAGCACACAAGAATCCATACCTCCACTCTCCTACACATTTCATGGCATGGCACTTAATTAAGCTGAGCACAGGGACAACTGTTATAGAACTATATAGATCCAAATGCATATCATCCCACATGACAAGTAACAATATTGTTTCCATGTAAATAATACCCTCCAGTTTGTGCCATTCTTCCCAAACTTTCTTGTGCCTGCGGGATGTTGATTCTGGTAGCACACTGAGAAAACCAAGTAAATTTCTATAACACATATTTATTGATGTTACAAGAAGAATTTACAGATGAGCAGGCAAGCAAAGTGTGTGATAACCGGTGATATATTGTGTGGCTCTTCTGCAGAGCATGCCTGAGGAATGCGGGTGAAGCTCTGGTCACAGTGGGTTGGCTTGCATGAGGGACGTTGGCCTTCCTTGCATCAGCAGTTGGTTGACTGTGAACTGGCCAGAGTGTGGTAAGTGTTTGTGGTGGACTTCCCGGTGTGTCTAGGCAACTGTTACTGGAGTCAGCTGATGGTGTTGCTGCTAGGAGACTCACTGTTGCTGTGTACACTTTAGGTGAAATGTCTCAACATAAAAGCAGCTCCAACTGACTGACCAGTGCATCAGTGGTCCACACCTTTATTCGCTGTAGCTAGCCAACACCCAACCCAATGGGTGTTCATGCTGTTGTGGTCTATGCTGATTGGCTAGCACTGTGGTAGGCTCCAACATGAACATTCGTTTCCCCACTTTACAGGACCACTCAGGTACATGGTAACCATGAAGTTCCAGTAATCATGGACAACACTTAAAGTCACTGTTAACTGCATGTAACATTCATAAGAATCACAGTGATTTATAAATCACTACATCCCCAATCTCTACCCATAACTGAAGCACACTGAGTGACAATCAGACATGGGGAGAGAAAACAAGACCAGCAGACATCAATGGAATGACATACTGTATATAAAGATGACAGCAAGTGAGCAATTATCATGTCTAGCATTTTAGTGTTTTAGTGTGGTTTGTTTTAGTAACAAAATAAAGAGTGTAGATCCTTCTAAATGTCACTATTTGCTGATATTAGAGATATGGAATGCATCAGGAATAGCATAAATCTAAGAAAACACATGTAATTCCAAAAGATATACCTCTGAAGTCTGCCTTTGCCAGAAGGGGTGCACTGGCTGACACAGCTCCATGAATTAGGTGGGGATACTTGGCTCGCAGCCAAGCAGCAAGGGCCCCTGAATATGAGCCTCCAAATGCAATCCACTTGGTACCTTCAGGTACTTCATACTTGACTGTCATGGCATCAATGAAGTATGCAAGATCTGCAAGGGACTGTTCACTACTCAGGAAAGCCAGATTCCTTGCACTCAGGTCCCTGCAGAGGAGCAAAGACTTTAACAGTGCATGTTAATGAAACACAACTGCATATAATTAGTGAAATACTTTTTTAACACTTCCAGTCATAGTTACTCTGGATGTCTGAGAGCAATGGAAAATGGAAAAAAGTAGATTATGAGCAGCTTCAAAATTTGTACTCTTCACCAAATATGAACTGCAGGATGAAATTAGTTGGGCATGAACATACATGGCAGAGATGAGAAATGCATATAAAATTATGACTGGCAGGAAGGGACCACTCGGGAGGCCAAGACATAAATGCAAGGATCTTAGAACAGCCCTTAAAGAAACAGGGTGGACTTCCTCAATTTGTTCAGGAGCAGGTCCAATGTTGAACCCACGAAAGCACAGTACTCAACCTTCAGGTTTCTAAGAGGAACTTCTACTACTATGATCTTGCCAGAGTTAATCAGTTACATTATTATCTTGTGCATTCTGTCTATCTGTCTATCACAAATCCATTTCTGAACTGGAAATACCAATACAACAGAATTCTGGGTACCATCATTACCTAGTGATGATGATGATAATGACAGATGGAGGAATTGATCTACATTAGACATTGGACAGGGCTTGTCAGAAGAATAGTAGGTTAAGGCTCGAGGTAAAATCAGCACTGTATCCAATGGAACAAGTTCATTCAATCTACGATCCATACACAAATGAAGGGGGGTTTGACCTTTGTTTGTCTGCTGCCAAGATACATAAATCAATATAATGTCAGGGTACTATGATGCTATTAATTACAGCTCCTCAAGTTGTTGTTGGTACATCTTGACCATGCAGTCGCTATTTCTCCCACTTACTGACTGCTCCTACTACATGAGAGCACAACACAAAACTATATGGGTGTCTGGATACTAGTGACATCAGGCGTAATTACTGAAAACTTACCAAAATAGAGACTAAATAGTGCATATACAGATTCCTGAGATATTATAAAATAGTTTCACAAGTTTAAACACAGGGAATTCATGCATCTGCAGTCAGAGCCCCTAAAACTGCTCATCTTGTCTACTGGATAACTGGCCCTCAGTGATGGATATGCAGTTACAATTTTGAATTGAACTGAGACAATATCATAGGGACATAACAAATCTATTTTAGAGACTGGAAAATGTGATTATTACGGGTAGACATGATTGTATGTGACGCCTAACTCTGTACCAAGCACATTAAAGAGAAATTGCATATATATTCTGACACAGACTGTGTGAGAACTTGTGTGGCTAATAAAGAGAACTGTGAGGTCATATACAAGTACTGTAGAATAAACTGTTCTGTTTCTCACCACATACTATTCACTTTGACTGGGATAAACAAATGCTGATGTAACTAACCTTGTGGGACGACTTGCACCATAATATCGATGTTCTAGCATGAAGCAGAGAGCATTGTAGTGTCGAGCATACTCTATCCACTGACCTGTGACCATCCACAAAGGATCTGCAGTACCTTCACCACCAATCATAAGGAACACTGGACCACCAGGGACATAGAAACTGGCATTGGTGAAGTATCTCTAAGAAAGACACATTTCATTTGTCTTCCTGCTCTGAGGTATGTGAAATATACAACACAATGATATATAATGATGACAAGTTTGAACAATGTCTATGGTATGAACACAAAGAATAACCACATCAGTGAAGGTACTGTGCTGTCTGGACATATATGGTAAATAAATACATGTGTAATTCTGATCAGTCAGTCTTCATATGTAATTACATTTGTGGCACTACTTTCAATATGTGGGACTGAGGCAATGTTCAGGTGGGTTTCTTCACTACAGCACACATCATCATGTTGTCAGTGGAGGAGACGGCTTATAGATATGGAGGCCAATTACAAATATGAAATAAGCTGTCTCACACAGCCAACTAGAGGCAATCCCCCACTTAGGTATTGCGCAGTGGGACTAATAACCCTTCATTATGTTACAAAGTATGTTACAAAGGGCCTTGGACTTGAACACTCTTCACCATAACCCAATAAATGCAAAAGGGACATAAAAATTCAGAACTCAAAACATCAGTAGTCTCTATAGGATAGTGGCAGTTCAGTGGAAGCAGCACAAAAACTAGTAGAGTATAATCCAAATTTAATGGAAGAACACGAGGTTAGATAGGGCAATCAACCAGCAGACAATTATACACTTCTGTATGGAGAAGTTTCACCAAATATTGTTATGGTGATGAAACCAAGAATGATAAGACTGAAAGGGCATGTACCACAAATGGAAGACTCCTTGAAAGACCTACACTACTTGAAAAATACTTTGGAGCCCTAGGCCCACACAGAAGAACAATACTGAAGTTAATCCTAATGAAATAGTTGTCATGGTGTGGATTGGATTCATCTGGCTCAGGATAGGTTCATTACCATGTTCGCAAGAGCCCTCCACCGGTCCCTATCCTGAACCACATCAGTTCAGTTCATACAACCCCATCCTATCTCTCTATGATCCATTTTAATATTATCCACCTACTTAGTTGTCTCTTTCCTTCTGGCTTCCCCACAAACATCCTATATGCATTCTTTTTCTCCCCATTTGTACTACATGCCCTGTCCATCTCATCTGCCTTGACTTGGTCATTCTAATTATACTTGGCAAAGAGTACGTGTTATGAAGCCCCTTATTATTCAGTTTTAACTGAACAAATTACTGCTTTATTCAAAATACCAATGGACAAAATCCAGGAACTCAGAAATCCTAAAAAAATTCTGTTATCTACCTGTTCCCATGTTCTTGGAACGGTTGGATTGAAATGGTCTAGTAGCTGAAGAAACAATTCTGCAGAGGGCACAGATGTGTTGGGTGCAGCTCTGGGTGACCCCAACATTCCACCACGTCCTCGTCCTCTGTGAAACATCTTCCATCCTTCAACTTCAGCCAGCAGCATAAGGATCATTATGCTCAAAACAGTGACACCCATTTCCTTATTTGAATGCATGTTGAGATACTGTGATGTTTATTCAAATACTGAAAAAACATATTAAAACTTAAGGCCTGAATGGTAAAAATTTATATCAGATAAATAAAAAAGTAATATCTTACTAGAATGAAAATATCCTACACATGTGTAATCCTGATGGGTACTGCCATATGATCCAATGAGTGCTAGTGAAGAGTGTCAGATGGCAGCACCATTACTACAGCTTTCTAACACAAAACAATATTTTATTTTGCATCAACTTCATCCATTTAGTTTTATTAATATTTACCTCTACCTTACCAGCAAGTAAGTAAATGTCTGCACTACTGTTTATGGTATTATTACCATCAGCATAAAGCAGTACCTGACTCAGGCCATACAATTTCAGACGTTCCTCATGCTCTTGCTCCTATCAGTCCGCACATTCTGCAGCACAATTAACAAGACTATATAGGACACATCTGGTAGAAGTACTGATATATTAACACCTATGTCCAAGCATTTACTGTGATAAGCTCAAATATTTTAATTGGATGTATATTTATATACTACAACCTTATTACAGAGAGGAGGTTTGCATGCCCCAGTGACCTGGAGAGTTCTGCTGGTGGAAGCACATGCTCCTGGGCAGGTCGCCCATGCCAGACAGGTCAGAAGGTAGAGGCAGACAAAATTTAGAACCTGATCCTCCCAGATTGGTGTTGTTTGTGGGGCTAATGGCCCCGTCCCAGAAATTTACTGTTATGAAACCTGTACACACATACAGGAGGCTAAGACCCACACTGGGGTGCACCACCAGTAAAGGAGAAAATATATTTATATAAATATGCGCCTATAAATTCAAGTGGGCCTGGGTTAGCCTAATAATTATTGAGAAGAAGAGACTTTGGTAATCTTTGAGTGTGTTTGGAAAATGCAATGTCAACAGTTCAGTGATCTCCATATTTGGATGATCAATCATGATTGCTGAATCAGAAAAGTATGTATTGGGTCTCTTTAGTTAATCATGTTGAGACACATAGAAAATGTGTATTGGATATAATTTTTCTTTTTTCATTTTTCTCTATAACTTCCACTTGTGACATTTTTCACTCAAGCATATATCCTTACATATTTTTCAAATATGTAAGGACTTATGTTCAAGATATATGCCAAAAGACATGTTGGTCTTCAGGTAAAGAAACTGGCCTTCAAAAACACCCATCAATATAATGAATGAAACTATCAACAGAAGAGCCTAGGATTTTACTCAAATAAGTTATGTCCAAGACACACAAAGAAATGCATGTAAGTTTCCATCTAAAATGTCTGTTATTTTTGTCCAAGTGTAACTACAACCCTAGTATCATATTTAATGAAAATCACTTCAACAGTTCTTGAGCCGTTTCATGCACAAAGGCAATCACAGTGATCTTAATAGACACTCTGCTAAGTAGCATATAGTGGGCTATAGCATCCCACAGTCTACACTCACAGTGAACTACAAATATCAGATATACATTTATCTATACACACTGTACTGGACACCTCATACCTGAACCTGTAGTACCTGAACAGACTTCTTGGGTATTCTGAATTCAATGATAATCTCTCATAAAGAAATCACAGACTTAGAAACAACAGTAATTTTCTTATTAACTTCACATCTGACTCAACATATTTATAAAAAGGCTGATTCTGTACACAGTTAATATTCTTGAGAATTACAGAACAGCCAGTAATCAAATCCTGAGAAAAAAACATAAATTATGAGCGATTCAGGACAAAGTGCTAGGAGATGAGATACTTTACAAGTAAAAGATGCCTACAAGAAAATGAATCAGCCACACATCCTGTGTGATTCAGGCCATAGCTTATTTAAGATTTCGTCATCTGGGTCAGTTTTTTATGGAACCAAGTGACTTTTATGACGGCCCCATAAGCAGGGCTAATCCAAGGGGAAGCACAATAGATGACTGAAGGTTGCAATGCGGGGCCGGTTTTTATGGCCCACCCCTCACATACATTACATTACATTACAAGATCATTTGCAAAACTAACAGCAGACAGGTCCGTATATTCAGATAATCTCAGAGAAATAATTTATGCAGATGTGATAAGAATTTAACTGGCTCAGGATCAAATGGTCGGTTTTGTGATGGTTGTGAAAAACTTTTGGTTTTCATAAGAGCAGGGGCACTGTCATGGCAGACCCTGCCATCAGATGCACCAAATAACTTGCTGACACAGATCCTTCATTCTTCTTTGTATGCCTAGATATTAGATTTACTCTGGGTAGATTTGTAGATTCTGTTATCACAAAATAACTGTGAGAGAGAGATTTATAACTGCAATAGAGGGCATAAGTTCATGCCTCACTTAATAACCTTTGAACCAACTGGCTGATTTTTTCATGTCAACATTGTACAAAGGTTGAGTTGCTGGAAGCCACACCACAGACATCACTACTTTTCCACTTCCTGCAGTCAGTAATACCAATACTCTGTGAAAAATACACTATCACTTATAACTATAACCATTCCTATGATATCAGAACCCAAAATTTAAACTCTGAAGGAAAACACTAAGATTCTTCCAGTGCTATATCCTCCATTACTGCTCTTAGATACCAATTATTTTCTGACATTTCATTTACAAAATACTATCAAGTTATGAATTTCCCTGAAGTAAAAAAAAATTTACAGCCATACATAATAGTAGGAGATACAATCCTATCCATCAGTAAATGATACCTTCTTTTACACCTCCTATGATACGAATTATCAAACAACTGCAGGTAACACAAGGCAAGATAAACTCAAAACCTATTAAATGGAAATTGATTTCTTCAGGGATGTGAAACCATGCTATAGGGTAAACATCTACCTGACAAGCCGGTGTCACATCCCAGAACAGAAGTAACCTTCATAGACACCGCTGTGAGAACCTCAAATCCAACACAGAAAATAAACATTTCAAGGCAGGATAAGTTATAAAGATCATGGAAATGCAAGGGTTCTGTCTTTTGGGATATAACGCTGTACAGTCCACTGAAAGTCAACTAATGTTTTGGAGGAACATGTCACCTCCATCTTCAGGGACTATGCTGCAAGCAAGAAACCAGCATGAGAGCAGTTGGCAAGTAGACATGGCATTATATCCCAGAAGAGAGACTTCTTTATCATTGCCGCAAGAAGCTCAGACCCTACACAGAAATACAAGATGTTCAGAGAAGAACTTATGACCCCTACTTCTATCAAATATTTAAAATTATATAATATTGATATCAAAACAAACAATAAAAACAAACTTCATGGCTTGAGTCTGCAAGCGAACTATACCGACCGAGCAACCGCCACTTATCAGCGAAGTTAGTGCCAACTTTAGCAGATAGAGGGTGTTGCATGGTCAGCACAATGGATCCCCTTGTCCATTAATCTCGGTTTTCTAGACAGGAATAATAATGATATCAAGATCTATAAATTAATAATTATACAATTCAATGATCAATTTCTGTTCATAATAGCCAACAGCATCAATTCCAAGTAAGTTATAAGAATGTGTCAATTTGAAGTTTTGAATGACAACCATGTTAACATATCAAATTATTTAATATACAATATACAGATTTGTTTATGATCTACTTCAATATATGGTTTCACATTGGCCAGCCTGTTGGCACACTGCTGATAAGGTCGGAGGTTCTCATGACGGTAGTTATCAAGGCTATGGTTTGCAGTGCTCTGCAGAAGGTTACCAATGTTGGAGAAATGTGCCGCTCCAACTTCAGGATTGCAGTCTTCCCTCTTTCATTCCCACAACTTCAACCCTTTAGACGAAGCAGTTCCTCCAAAGCAATGGTAACCTTCTGCATCCACAGTCTTAGCTAAGAGTTGTTTATGATTCAAAACAGTACACAAAGAAATGGGTGCTAGCTTCCTCCACATTCACATGCCATCTGTCTGGGGCCAGTCACATGTATACTGCCAGCCTGTGGTTGTGAGACATTGAGGCTCCCACATTTTCCAGAAAATCGGTTCAAAGATGACGGCAAGGTTGTCAGCCTTAAAGGTCGCCCGACCTTTACCCCCAGCAAGATTCCTGGTACTCATTTCTGATCAAGGCTGAGTTGACACCAGGGCTGGAAGGATTAGGTCAATCAAACCCACAACCCTACAGCTTGTAGCATAATGCCTCAACCAACTACACTACGGTATGTCCCCAATAAGTATGGTTCCCTAGCCTATTATGTTTGTGTTACGTTAATATTTTGTTTTTTTGGTAGATGGTAGAACTTGGCAACAAATCACAATGCTTGGGAGGTAACACATTCCAAAACAATGAAGAAATGGAAATGGCAGTTGGTGAATGGTTGAGTGCAAAAGCCAAATTTCTACCGCAAGAAATTTTTAAACTCATGCAAAGACAGGACAAATGCATCAATGTGCTCAGGGATTATGCTGAAAAATAAGGATACTTCAGTGAAACATGTAAGCTACATTTAACATTGTAATGATTTCTCATACTCATCCTGCCAACATTCGTCATCCTATCACTGATGCTATAATGTCGCAATACTGACAGTACTGTTAAGCAGCAAACAGAAAAGAACAAATGTGATAAGTATCTTCATTTTACCAGAAATCGATTTCAGGAGACTCAGATCTAATGAAGTGTTTCATTGGCTAGTATGTTGTGATTGAATTAAAGGTTAAAAGCATGCCAACAGCTTTTCACATTAAATTAAAAATCATTAATTACAACTACAATAGTTATACTATCATTTAACTAGTTAACTACACATTTTGGAATTACAACTTACGTCTTACGAGAGGATTTATATTTAGTGGTCCACTTATTTATCGGTGATCGCCGAAAAATAAAACAACACAATCCACAGCTACCGATGGCCTCGTAATAAATAATCCACAACCGTGAATCATGCAGTATTATCTCACTATCCATTCACATGTGCTTTAGCATGTGTAAATGAACTTGTTCAGTACAACAGCCAGTTGAGAAAACCGATCCGATCTGTCACAAAAAGGACTTTCTTCAGTCCCTCGCTGCTACCATTTTTGAAACTGAGAGCTTTAGGTATATATCCCACAGCAACCACAGCAAGGATTAGTAAAGTAGGTAAAGTACGCACACAAACATACGGATTTAAAAAATGCACACACCGAGATAAGCAGCTCAATGTCAATAGTCTCAAATGGTTATGCATCACGTCTTTGCATACATTATACTGCCATCTATCCACAAATTTGGTGGAACTACTACAAAATGGTCTTATCATTGCTGGCACACGAAGAGCTGAATCGGTATAAATGTTTACCATCCAACTTAAAAGGCAATCGTCCCCTGATCTTCACTTTCATTAAGGCAAAGAAGAAATTTGCCATTCTGGCCTCTTCTACTGCAGAGGGACTTGCCCCGTTTTTTAAAAATACAATTCTGTGAGCTGGTTTAATCAGTATGGGCGAGGGTACACCAAGCGAACTCACAGCCGCAACGCAACCGCATTTTCCGAGAAAAATCACCGATTTCAAGCAGGCAACTGGTTTCCAGATTAGCAGGCGCACACTGAGGAAACTTATGTTTGATTAGTTGCTCACATCATCTTAAGTGGCTATGTTCGTCCGACGCAATGCACGATTGTATTGGTTAATTTCGAGCACTTACCTTCTGCAATGGAAGATGATAATACTGATCCTGTCATAATACGGCAGTAGTTGAGACCGGGTGAGACGGCCTGAGAAGAGAGGACGACGACCGTAAAGAAAATATTGGGATGTTAATTAATTTGTTTTAATTAAGGTCAATTTATTTTAATCAAGAAATATCGCGTTCACACGCGATGCGAAACTTTGACATGCAGTGCAACAGTTTTAGCAAAATAGGAGAAACCTGATGATGGCCGTATACAGCCGAGCCATGTAATGTGGATGAAAGGTGACTATATAATAAGTTGCATTTAAGACGGAAATATATGTGAAATATATTATACGTATATATTAATGCAACAGGATTGTTAAGTAAAGAAAACATTGGGTGCATCCGTTCTTCTGTGACAATTTAAACTGAAGCGCTTACACGTATATTATTTCGAAAGAACTTAACCTGTCTTCAGGCTCCTTCGTCTCATGAGGAATTCTTTTCAAAGCCAAATCAATTTTGTCCCGCGTAGCATAGTCTGGGTGGTGTCTGTCATATATACAGAACAGTTGATACAAGGAAACCACGCAGCAAAGCAATTTTGAGAAGAATTGCATGCTCCGTTGCCTGGAAGTTCCGTTTCGCAGTCTTTCTGCGAGTTGCGTTGCCGTTTCCTGAATTTGCGCTGCTCCATTCACTAACATGTGTTCAACTCAGGCTGATAACAATACTCGGAAATCGCGGTTGCGTTGCGGTTGCCAGTTTCCTTGGTGTGCCGCCTGTATCTTCACTCACATCCACCAAGGAAAGCTTTCTCAGCATTTCCTTTAAAAAATACACAGACACACACACACACACATACGAGTATCTAAGCCAAAGGAGTCGGGACGCCTGGAGAGCACAGTCTGTATAGCGCCTGGCTACAGGTTGGACGGCCGAGGAAGTAGAATTCAAGTCCCTGTAGGAGCAAGATTTTTCTTTTCTCGATGTCGTGGGTCCTACCCATCCTCTTATCCAATATGTCCCGCTGGTAAAACGGCCAAGGCGTGAAGCTGACTGCTCACCTCCAACTAGTACTGAGGTCAATAATCTGTGGATGTATACATCCGCCCTCCCATACGTCTTCATAGCGTAATGCTTAATTAGTTTTAAACGCATCTAAATCAATCTAAAATCTTCCTACTGGAATGCAAGGGCTGCTATAAACTATATCATACACAATGTGTCCAGGTTCTGTTAGGACGTGAATTATTTTCAAAATTTCACTTTTTTTCAAAATAGTTTCCTTCTGAATCAATACATAGCTGGAATCGATTGAAAAGTTTTCGAAAAACAGTCACTGTACTCCTTTTGTGGAATCGCATTTAAAACTGCGGTACATTCTCCTTTCATCGCCAACTTAACTTTTGGGAAGAACCATAAATCTGCTGGAGCCAAATCTGGCGAATACGGAGAATGATCAAGGACTGTGATCCCCTTTCTGGCCAAAAAATCGCGCACGATCTTCGATTTGTGGGGTAGGGCATTGTCGTGGAGGAGCGACCAGGAACCTAGCTCTCGATATTCAGGTCGAATTCGAAACAATTCTTGCCCACAAACGATTGAGGACTCCGAGATAATAATCAGAATTCACTGAGTGACCTTCTGGCAGAAATTCCTTGTGAATGATTCCTTTGGAATCGAAGAAAACGGTTAGCAGTGTCTTTACTCGACTCTTTTGCATGCCCACCTTATTTGGTTTCGGCTTCTTTGGGCTCAACTACGCTACACTCTGCCGCTTTGTGAGAGGCTCATATTGAAAACACCATGTCTCGTTACCAGTAAAAATCGATTTTGTAAATTTTGTATCACTTTGGGCCGACCGTAACAAGTCTTTGCAGTGTTCCACTCTGGCGTGTTTTTCATCGCCTGACAGCGCGTGCGGTACAAACCGCGCACAGACCTTCCGTTTGCCCAAATCCTCAGTCAAAATTTGATGCACAGTACCTTCTGGTATTCCCAAAAGCTCCTCGATGAGTCTTGTAGAGACACGTCTGTCTGGTGCAAGGATTTCGGTCACTTTTTTTACATTTTCTTCAGTGCGACTTGTTCTCGGCTTTGATGCACGTGGAGTGTCTTCAATGTCCTCCCTGCCGTCACGAAATACAGCATAGCATCCAAAAATGTTTGAAAGACTCAAACAATCACTACCGCAAATACGTTTCATCATTTCGTACACTTCTCCCGCTGTTTTGCCTAACTTCAAACAATATTTGATGTTGGCTCTCTGTTTAACCTCCATTTTCCGAAGAGCGTCAGAACAGTACTGTTACATTCAAGGTCAGAACACATGATGCAGCGATGCTTGCGCTTTGAAATTATAGACAGCCACAGCTGAAACTTCAAGAATTTTACCACAACTCGCCAAGAGATGGCATTGCGGGATAAAATTTAAAAAATGAGTCCTAACGGATCCTGGACACACCGTGTATGTGGAAAACCTTAATACTTATAACAGTTTAGGACAGTGCGGTCTTCAGTTACTTTAATGTATTATGAATTAAGCATTTCATTGAAATTTCCATATATTATAAATACATTTAAATATTTTTACAAGGAAACACAGAGTCAAGAGAATATTAATTCCTCAAACCAGAATACAGGTACTATGCTTAAAGATCCTCAGAATGATACGAGGATATGACGGAAATTCTAAAACAAACCACGAAAAACATCCACTAAAACACAGTTTTACAATATTAAAGTGGCAACAGTTATACTCTGTAGTTTCCCAATTAAACTTCGAAGAATCTTCCTGGAGGCTAAAGGGCTGCCGGCGCGTACCGCTGAAAACCTCACTGCCATCTGTGAGCCGATTGTCTAAATCAGCGATGGCCAACTGGCGGCCCGCGGGCCGTATCCGGCCCGCGACTTGATTTACTCCGGCCCCCTGCCAAGTCTCAGGTTTATTTTAAAAAATCTTAACTTCACAGCTGTATTGGCATAGAATTCAGTTTTTAATAGGACGTTTCATTAGCTTACAGCATTTTGCAATTGACTGTATACGTTCTTACTGAGTTGGACAGTTCAAACGGTTTTCTAATAACTGTGTTCATGTCATGGAAATTCAAAGTTCCCCAACCCTACTTCTGTAGGGAGATGACACTGAAGGGAAGACCGTAGTGGTGAAGGATTTATGACACCTTCAAAATAATAACCATTCCCAGCTTGCTCGCGGCAATGGGATGTTTACCGTTTCTCTCGGCATCCTGGCCTTTGTTAAGTGCCAGTTTTAGCAGAAATGTCTCCCAGTTAGTGCGATTTTAGAAAGTGAAGTGTGATTACGGAGTGTGAGTGTAGAACTGTTTTTAAATTAAAATTGTGTTTGAAGTTATTGTGAGTGATACAGCATGTCAAATAGTAAATTGAGAAAAGTTGATAGCGAAAATAGGGCGTTCAAATCTGAGTGGGAACATGACTATTTTTTATATTAAATAAAGACCACAAGCCACAGTGTTTAGTATGTTTTCAAGTGCTAGCAGTTTTAAAGGAGTACAACCTAAAGAGGCATTACATGACAAATCATAAACAGAAGTTCGGAAAACACTCTTGTGAATCAAGGAAAGTAGTCTGCGATCAGTTAAAGAAAAAACTTTTCCAGCAGAAATCTCTTTTTACCAATGAAACAAAACAACAAGAAGAAGCTTTGCTGGCTTCTTATTTCGTGACATATGAATTAATGAAAGCTAAAAAAGCGTTAAGTGATGGTGAATTAATTAAGAACTGTGCGATAAAGATGGCAGAAGCTTTCAATGAAAATAAGGTAGGAAACAAATTTCAAACAGTGCCCCTTTCAAAACAGACTGTTACTAGGAGGCTGGAAGATATTAGCAACCAGATATCTAATAATGTGAAAGACATTATCGCTAATTGTTCCTATTTCTCAATTGCTCTCGACGAAAGCACAGATGTTTCGGATACTAATCAGTTGCTGATATTTGTTCGTGCAATTAAGGAAGATTTTACAATTTTCGAAGAGTTGTTAAAAGTGTGCTCTTTACACAGCACAACTAGAGGTGTCGATATTTTTAACGCTGTTAAGAGTGCAGTGGAGGAATTCGGTGGTTTTGAAAAATTGTCCTCCATAGTAACAGATGGCGCTAAATCAATGACAGGGACAATAAGCGGTTTTGTTGGATTTTTAAGACAGAATCAAATTACTGTACCTACCTTGCATTGTATTATACATCAGGAGGCTCTATGTGCCAAATCAATTAAACTGTCTACCACCATGGCTACTGTCACAAAAATTACTAATTTGATCAGAGGAGGAAATCGATCACTCACTCACAGAAAATTTCTGACCCTCTTGGAAGAAATGGATTCTGCTTACGGGGACCTGCTTCTGCACACTGAAGTAAGATGGTTAAGCCGTGGGAAATGTCTGGTACGGTTCTTTGAACTCCGTCATGAAATAGCAACATTCCTAAGAGAAGAGGTTACGAATTCTGCTGAACTGCAGAATGATCTCGAAGACGTCGAATTCTTGAGAAACTTGGCCTTTCTCACTGATATCACTCAACACTTGAATGTCCTGAATCTGCAATTG